GACGGTGGGCGAATTCCTCATGGCCGATACCAACCACTGCCAAGCAACAGGACCAGGCAGCCAGAAGAACCCACCAGATACATAGTTCCCTCCTCTTTGCCCCCTTCTAGCCAGAAGCAGCTCCAGAAGAAATGACCTCCGCCCTGTACCCATAACAACAAAAGGCTGGAATGATGCATAAAAAAATGGCTGCTTACCAGGATTTTCACTCTCCCTACCGGAACTTCCTCTCTCCCTACCGGCACGTCATCCCTAGTCAACCTATCACCTCCCTCCACTAATCTCAACCTGCCCTCCTCTTCAACCAGTATAAAAGTCCTTCCCACCGCCAATACCTCTCTTTTTCCTTCCGACCTCCATCCAATACAGCCTTATATGTGGGTGTTTGTGTTCCTGCTCATTCCATCTCACATGTACACAAGCCCTGGTGTGGTGCTGCAGGTTAACGCGCTGGACTGCAAGGTCGGTGGTTCAAGCTCACCAGCTGCTCCTCGGAAACCTTATACAGGGTCGCTGTGGGTTGGAACCGACTCGGCGGCACTTACCAATTAAGAACCTGAGTCCTGTTGTGGTGCTGTGGGTTAATGCGCTGGACTGTAAGGTCGGTTTGAACCGCAAGGTCGGCGGTTCAAGCTCACCAGCTGCTCCTTGGAAACCCTACACAGGGTCACTATGAATCAGAACAGAGACGGCTTTTAACAACAATTAAGAACTAATTGATTGCAGCTGCGTCATTCAAATCCCAAAGCGTATTTTTAAATTGGGGATGACAATGTTGTTTCTCTGCTCTTAAATTCCAAGTTCCTTGTTAATGTTAAATGTTATTTGGCCCAACAGCTTGGTCCCACTAGGAATAATGGCAGCCCCGTCTATGAAAGAAAGGAAGGTTTGCTGGGGAGCCCGCGATGAATACTGGAAGTGTTTAGATGAGCACACAGATGATGCTTCTCAATGTAAGAAGTTCCGAAGCTCTTTTGAATCAAGTTGTCCCCAGCAGTGGGTAAGTCAACTGACATGGACGAATGGATGCTTGTTCTTTGTTAAAATACACTGAACTCACACTGAGAAGGCTTTCTAGGCATGCCATCAAATTTTCTTAGAGACAAAAACCTTATCATCTAGACTGGTTTTATGTATTTATGCCAGGCAGACAGTTGGTTAATATCATCTGACACAAAGATTACTGAAAAAAGGCAAACATGAACAAAAACTTCCAAACCATATAATGAATGGTCTCTCCAGGATTGTCTGAAGGGGAAATACCTGAGTTTCTTAGTGCTCCTGTAACAAATCCCACAAATGGGCAACTTTCATAGACACGTTTGTTTTCTTGCGGTTTGTTGTTAAGTGCTGTAGAGTCATAGTGGCCCTGTGTAAAACGAGAAACTGCTCGTTCCTGGGCCATCTTCACAAAGGCTGCTGTGTTGCGTCAGTCCATCTTGGAGTCTTCCACTTTTTCGCTGACCCTGCACTTTACCCAGCATGATGTCCTTCTCCAGGGACTGGTGGTCTCTTCTGGTAACACATCCAAAGTAGAGAGATGAAGTCTGACCGTCCTGGTTTCTAAGGAGCATTCGCTGTACTTCTAAGGCAGATTTGTTTGTTTTTCTGGCAGTCCATGGTACTTTTTAATTTCCTTCTCCAACACCATGATTCAAATGCATCAATTTGTCGATTGTCTTCCTTATTCAGTGTCCAACTTTCACGTGCATGAGGCAATTGAAAATACCATGGCATGAGTTAGGCACACCTTAGTATTCAGACTGATATCTTTGATCTTTGTAACTGTAACTAGGTCTTTTGCAGCAGATTTGTCTAATGCAATATATTGTTTTGATTTCCTGACTGCTGCTTTCATTACTATTG